AATTAAGCAAGCCCATCACTGTTTGCCATCTGCATGGGGAAGGCCGGGGAACGGGGCAAGTGTGGTTGATGTAGAAACAATGCATTGTTCCTGGCAGCAGGCAAAGGAAAGGCAGCCTCTGAAGCACAAAGAGACAATTATAATAACAATGATTGCTGTATTCAGAAAGTTAAACAAATGCCAACAGTGAAACCCTCATAAGAAGTAATAGAGACAGTGTTGGAAAGGGCAACAGCCTGTCATTCCAAGAGGTGAGAGGGGTCATCCCTGGGGGCAAATGGAGTGCCCTGTCTAGGAAAGCTACACGAAATTCAAGCGCCATTAAACAAGTTAGTATTTTTCACACACACAAAATTAGGATGTAATTTTCCTCCAAAATATTTCAAATGTATTTCCTGTAGCGTGCATAGTAATGAGGTGGTTTATGGGGTGTTTTATGATATGGTTTCTACTTCATCTCTTCATCTCCAACACACGCCACACTCAACACCAGTCTTCAGCCACATGGAGTGTTCTCCCCAGGACAATGGCGGGAGGTTTTGGCCTTGGGGCCTTTGTGTGTGCTGTGTCTCCCTGCCTGCATCCTCCTCAGTCCCCTTTTTTCCTAGTCACCGCCGCAGGTGCACAGGTGTGCAGGTATACTGGGGGAAAGTCCTGGTCTCTCTGACTTGCCTAGTTCTCACAGCCTTCAGGCTGCCAACTCACGTCTGGTCCTGCTGGTGCACATGCCAATCAGTAGAGGGACTCTGCTCATGGCCTGAGTGTTTCAAAGACAGCCCCTCTCATTCCGCCTTCCCTTGACCTAAAGGACCTGAACTCTGTACTTCCTTCTGATGGATTTAAAGGCTCGATCCACCATCTTCTCCACTGGTGCCTTCTCCATCAATAAATCATCCTGTATTCCAAACTCTGATATTGTGAGTTCTGAGTTTTTGAAGCCTCGGGCACAAGGACCTCGGACCGGTAACGCTAGGAAGTAGACTGTGGTTGGAGAATTAGGCAGACAGACAAACGAGCCCGTGGTTCATTTCCAGGTACCGACTCTCCATCACTGACCCCAGAGCTGAGAGGCAGTGTGCACAGTGGGCTCCGTCCTCGTCTATCGCATCTTAGCTTTTTGTCATTTCCTTCAAAAAGTCTTTATATTCTCCCCTCCCGGATATTATGATTGGCTATCCCATATATGGCCATTGCCACACGTATTGAGTCTCTCTTGTCACTTCCCACCTGTGAGGTTCCTGTGCGTTTGCATCACAACATCATAAGCTACCGAAGGGCAAAGACTTCTGAAGTAAGTACAGTACCTGGCCCATAGTAGGTGCTAGTAAATATTTGTTAAGTAAAGTAGGAAATGCTTATAAGGACATAATTATAAAATAATTCTTATGAAATAAGAAAAATGTTCACATAGAAAATGGTTTACAAACAGTAAGTCAGTTCTGGGGTCATAACATCTGCAGAGTAAGAACAAAAATCACATGTAAATTAGTCACACGGAACAGGAAGGGGTGCATAGTCAACACCAGCGTCCACACAGCTTTCCGGGGGTTCGTACCCTGTGCAGAGGTGCTCTTCCAAGGGCTTCGACCTTTGACCAGGAGATGCCCCCGCTCCCTTCAGTCCTGACAACATAGGATCTCTTTTCGTAAAATGTGAGCTGTGGCATCAGTCTCCCCATTTTAAGCAAGTGTTTAAAATGACGCCTGCACTATTCAACTTATCTTTGCCGTATTGATTGTTATTATTCAGAGACATCGAAAGGATAGAGTTTACATTGAGCCTAAATTTCCTTAAGAAACCCGCTGTTGTAACAACTAGTTGTGGTATTGATCCGTTTGCAGAGACACCGAAACCCCACATCTTCCCACTGAAATATAGGAAGGACTCAGATGGGCAGGTAACTAGGAACCTCAAGGCCAATCAGAGGCTCTAAGAGTTGCCAGTCTGCCACTTGGCATGGCCGTCAGTGTCGACTGCCACAGCCATGTCACACATAATGTGACCTCTTTGGCCAGTGTCTGATTGTGGCACTTCCGTATTGTAGTTGGGCCAGAAGAGTTATTAAATATCGCAACACACTAGGACCAAATCATGGCAGGATGGCGATAGTCATTACGCCATTGCCTGTGATCCAAAATGGATAAATTACGGTTCTCTGAAGCTGATCGACAGAAAGTAGAATATATATAGCAACATGGGAATATCAAGATACGTGTCAGATCGACATGTACCTGTGCAGTTACATCCCTGAAGGCTGTAGCCCTTGGAAACCAGGGGAGGTCGTTGACCCCATTGGGAAGAGGCTGGTGAAGCAATTAGATAATTGTAGAGCGAAGAGCCCAGATGAGGAACAGCACTGCTAGAATCCCCAGGAAATTCACCATTACGTGTTTCAAGACAATGAATAATGAAATGTCTGCTTGAGAAGGTCTTATGATTAATTCCAAGAGCAAGAACCCGGACAGAGAAGGAGCCTGTAAGAAAAATCACAGTGTTTGCAAGAAACCAGAGACCTCATTTGGAAACTACTGTTTGGTTTTCATTTCTGATACGCAGGGCATCTCTCACAGGATCACAGGGGGATGCACAGGAGTTAAAATAAGACTGAGCTCAAGAAGGAGCCACAGTGATCTTCAAAGAAATAAAGCAGCCAAATGCATAAAATGTAGTGTATAACTAATGTATATGTTCTACCAAATATGTCATATAGGTAAGAATATAACCTATACATAGTAATATAAATATTTATAAACAAATGTATATCTTTTAAGAAAATGGAGTCTGTGTACAGATGTTTAAATCATACATAAGACAATCTAAAATAAGGTAACAGGTTAAAATCTCACGAAGTTGTGATTATTTCTTAAGGAATCTCTGAGTCCCTTGTATGGTAAGAGTATTGTGGTCATGTGTTTATACATCTATCACGGACATCATTCTTATCAGTAGAGAAATATACTGTTTAAGTATTTCATAAGTACTTACTTTCATTTCACAAAAGCCCTATGAGGTAGGTGCAATAATTATCCACATTTTACCAATTAGGAAACAGAGGCACAGAGCAGTTGGGTCACGATGCCAAGGTTACATCGGCAGTGAATTGTCAAGTTGGTCTTTCAGACCAGACAGACTGACCCAGGAAATTTGAGCTCTTGCCCTACAGGCTGGGAATCATCCCCCCACGAACATACACACTCACGAGTGTGGACTGTAGGCATGAATCCCAGCAACGTACGCTGGAGACGTACCTCTCTGCAGGCTAATACAGGGTTTGCCGAGGATGGTGGTTACACTAAGTGTAACCTTACACTAAGGCTTGGAGGACCATACCCTTCCCTTCAGTTCTGTAAACCAACCCGAAATGTGGAAAGGCAGTTTGCCATATAAATAAATGCAGGTTTGAATCAGGAGGCCAGCATACCTTCCCAAGCCAGTTCCCAACTGGTAGTGTCTTCTGTTTGGAGATTTGGAATTCCAGCTGCTGGATTATTTGATGCAAGAGAGGTGCCATTTTTGACTCCCATAGTATTGCACACGCGTCGGTCCCTCACCCATGGAGCCATCCGGTCAGCATCGCTCACACACACACTGGAGGGCCAGGCACACTGCGAGGCACTGAGGAGATCAGGGTAAAAGGGCGGTTCTCTGCTGAGTCATTCTGGGCACTGCATAAATGTCTGATGAATGCTGAGTAAGTGGATATATCGAGGGCACTACATGTTAAAGTTGCCGTGAGTGGAAAAATCACTCTGTCTCTCTCTCTCTGAGGCTTTTTCTCTTCCTGTGCAAAGTGAGAAGACAGCAGCGGAAAGGATTTTAATGTATCCCTTTCATGAGTTTGTATTTTGATCCCACGGTGACCGATAAAGTACTAAAAAGTATTAAGCATTGGAGATGTCAGGCAGGGTGATATCGGATTAAGATTATTTTTGACCGGGGTCTGCAACTCGAATCAGAGGGAGGGAGAGTCAGGGATGTGCAGAGAGAAACAGGCTCGGCTGCACTGGTGTCTGTGGACACTGGAAGCTGTTGAAAGAGCAGCTGAGAGAGCCACCGTGTTCAAGCATGGGGTGTGAATCCCCGAGAGGGAAATACAGACTTAACTGAGTTAAATGTGTCTGGCTATCGGTAAGGAGAATTTTTTTTATTAATTATATTATTACAGTTGTTCTATTTCCCCCCTTCATTCCCCTCTACCCTGCACACCCCTCCCCCACCACTCCTCCCCTTTAGTTTATCTGCAAACAACTTTGTCATCTCCAGCCCTGCTGTGGCACTGTTTAAACAATTCTGTTTTACTATTTATGGCTGCATTTACTTGTCCCGACTGCCATATCAGTTGGCCAACTTTTTAAAGTTCAGAAGCAAGATCTTAAAACAGAAAAGAGGTAAAGACCATGAAGCAGGTGGTGTGGAGAGTAAAATGGAGAAATAAAATTCTAATTTATACACATTGTTGTATATTTTACATTAAAGTGCTATTACATTTTAAAGTTTCCATTAAACTCCAACTCTGTGGTACAAGATGAACTTTGTGGTAAGGAGATGAGCTATGATATAAATTTGTGTGTCTGAAAGCATTATATAATAGATTAGTCAAATGAATGTTTGTCTTCTGAGTTTGTCCTCAATTGCTCTCTCGTTATTTGGCTTGGATTTAGAGAGAGAGAGAAAAATAAAAATAAAAAAAGATACGGAACAATCAAGAGGAAAGGACCTCGATAAATGAAAATGTTTCCCCTGGATAAATTGTGACTCCACTAGAAATTTTATGAACTAAGTGAAATAGATATAAGACCATTTGAAACCCAGCCATTATGTAACCTGGGAAAGGATTCAAGTAACTTGCAGGTTTTTTCTAAGGAAACGAACACTGTTATGTGGGTACTAATATCGAGTCCCCAGTGATCATGTCCGGTCCCCTATGATTTTGAAATTCAGAAGAACACCCAATTAGCCTCATAACAGACTGTCCGGTCAGCCTCAAAACTCTAGTTCAAGTGCTCCCTTCGGCAGCACATATATAAATATTGGGATGACAGAGTAAGATTAGCGTGTCCGCTGCAGCAGGATGAAGCACAAATACATCAAGCATCCCCTAGTGTTAGGGTCAGGTAAAGAGACTTCACATCAAAACAAGCCTTCCCATGGCAGCAGGGCCCAAAGTCAGCTACTTTGGAACCCTGACCTTCAGCCTGGCCTGTGGCTCTGTTGGATGGAGCATTGTCCGGTACACCAAAAGGTTGCAGGTTTGATCCCGGGTCAGGGCACATGCCTTGGTTGCAGATTCAGTCCCTGCTGGGGTGCATGCAAGAGGCCATCTACTGATGTACCTCTCTCCCTTCCTCTCTCTCTAAATCAATAAATGTATCCTTGGGTGAGGATTAAAAAAAGAAAAACCTTGATCTTTTCCATTTGACAGAAGACTGCTTTTCTTCACTGTTGTCTGTACAAATAAATCTGTATTTGCATTATGAGAAAGTCCATGCTCAAGAGGTAGTTTACCGGGACAGTGATCAGGGGTTAAAAGATCCTGAGTGGGACGTACAGGTGGGAAGAGGGAGACAAAGGGTCCGCTGGTGGTGGGTGTTCCGAGTCGCCGCAGCCCCTCCGACGGCACCTGCCCATGTGGCAGTGCTCGGGGAACGCATCCTTAGGCTCCCGGGCAGGTGTGCTCTACCCCGAAGCAGAAAAGGGGATTAAAAGGCTTTGGCACCGATGATGATGTGCACACACACTGAAATGTTAGATCTCCGCCTGCTGTGAGCATCGTCAGCTTTGTAAAAGACGGGGAACAATGTGGCGTGTGTGTGGCAGCTGCCATATTCGGGGACAGAAGGAAGCTCTTTGACTCAGTCCTCAGCAGAAGCCCTCTGAGCCCCCGACTCCCCGGTCTTGAGGAGGCAGAAGTCTCCGCTCTCCCACTGGGCCTTGTGAGCGGAACTCCGGGGTCATTTCTGGAAAGGCAGCCCAGAAGGCCTCTCGCTGTCCTCCAGCTGATTTTTGAAGAAACAAATGCTCTGTGTCTAAACATTCTTTATTAAGATGGATAGAAAGGTTCCTGTTTCCCGCGGCTGATTTCCACCAGATCTGTCAATGGCCCGATGCATGCTGGAGCCCAGCTGTTTCTCGCTGTCTCGTTTTTCAGTCTTCTCGACCTCCCTTCCTTTGGTCCTCTGATGGAGTTTTCTGGAGCGGATGGAGAAACGGCTGGGATATGGGTGTGCGCTCAAGCACCAGCCTCACCACAGCAGTAAAATACCTTAGAATTACAGTGTGCTTGCATTAGGTTTTATGTATGGCAGAAACAGCTGGAGAGTAACAGGGCCCAGCAGAAGGAACTCACGCCCGCTTCAGTGTGACCGGCAGGGTAATGATAGGGCTGTAATAAGGTACAGTGTTAATTCGAACATTTCACCGAAAATGTCACATGGTGTGCTTGAGTGTGATAGTGTTATGTTACAGAACAACATGCTGATGGTTTCATAATGAAATATTTTGTAATAAAACCGGGGCGGTATTTGTGCCAGACCCCAAGTTGACACGCATTGCTCACTTTTCCATTTCGACACCTTTGTAAGGAGTCATTAGGTGAGCCACCGGGTAAGGTCCTTTATTTAAAACTAAAAGAAACAAAGCTTATTTTACAGGCATTCTGCTGATAGATTCGAGGGCTTGTTCAAATAAGGAGGAGGCACACTTCCAGAGAATTCCCTGTGTGAGAAATTAATAGCTGAGCATGCAGCGCTGAGCTAGAAAACAGGGTTGCTTGCAAAAAGTGAAACAAAATAAAACAGAGTGAAGCGCACGTCTCCATGAGGAGTTCAACCAGCCTAGCATCATTCAGCTTATACTTAAGTCAGCCCCTGGGTGAGGACGACAGGAAAAAAGCCCAGTAATAGTGAACTAAAAATGCAATTCTAAATGCACCGCTGTGACTAGATTCTGAAATGTTTGACATTTTAACGAAGGGCATTGCGTCAGAAGTACAGAGACTGAATCAGTCACATGATTGCATTGACATGGGCATTAAGAGCAGTCCTGGAAAACCACTCACCTGTGTCTACGGGCCCCTGTCCTGCTTTGCAGCTGCCCCACGGTCACATACACTGGCTCTGATTCATGAAACTCAGCTGCATCCTTCACTCTGCCAACATACCTTTTATGAAACTGATTGGTTACCTGACCCATTTTGCCAACCAACACACTGATCCTTTTCCCTATGCATTTTTCTAAACTGTAAGGAATACAAAGATTATTAAGGAGTGATTAGATACAGTCAGAATTTTTTAAAAAGAAGTCAAGCTGAATAAAGACCAAAGAGATTATTACACTGCCTTTCTCAGTGTGTTCGTCATTATAAAAAGAAAAAGGTCGTTGAGAATCTTGAAAGTACTTCAGGATAAAATAGCAGAGGAAATAGGAGCAAGAGTTGTGGACGATGATCCTATAAGGAATGTTGGTCATGACTCAGCCAAGTTTAAAACTTGGAAAAGGATAAATCTTCTGTACTGAGCGTCCGTCTTCATCAGAGCTGGGAATAACGTGCTGAGTCTCAACTAAACACGAGTGTGTGTCACAGAGACAAAGAAGCTCAGCCCACATCGTTAGGGAGACTGCACAGGTGTGCAGTCTCTGGGGAAGGATTTTACATATGCGGTGAGCTTGCCGAACCCCATCCGGAAGCAGTGGCCGGATGGACCACTCCCTGTAGGGAGAACCTGAGCAACCGCAGGTGGCCAGCAGGCTTTGCACAAAATTTCATACAGCACTTTATGGGTTGCGGAACTTCATGGGTGACTTTGCTTCATCTCAGGAATTCCATTATTCATTTAATGTCAATGCAGCTGACATGGTTACAATAGGACGCATGACATGATACTCCGAGAGGAGATCATGCATTCTTTCTAAGGATTTACGAGTTCGTTCAGATGCATCCCCAGGTGTGTCTGGGAACACTCACATGCATTTACACGCATTTTGTCGTCTTCGGGAATTTGCACACTCCTGGACTCAGAGTCCAAGTGTTGATCTCCTTCGGAACCTCCCCTGGTACCGAGCTCATGACTGCACAAATGACTGCATGTGCATGTCACATGCTCATGACTCCACGCACAAATCATTGATTACCTAGTGAACAATAACTCGTGCAGGGCATAAAAAAGAAAAGCAGTTTTCAGTATGTGGAATCTGTTCTTTTGCCTCATTCTCAAGTGGGTGCTAAGAAAATAAGAGCAGCCATTCCTTCTGACCTCCACGTAAAAGTCATTCTTCTGGAGAAGAAATCGCTGGCATTCACCCGCTGCTCTGCCCTCCTTACCACTCCCCATGCTGGCCCAGCAGTGGGAGATGGTCTTGTTGACTTTTATCAGCTTCACCCCGGCATGCCAGTTACATTCAGTTCTGTGTTTATTTCATTCGTGTCTCCTTCACTAGAATATAGACTCCCCCACGAAGAGGAATCTGCGGCTTCTATTGCTATTTTGCTAGAGTTTGACAAGCAGTATAATCTTTATAGTTATCGCAGACATAGGGGACCCAGATTGGGAGGGGGTAGGGAGACCTTCAAAGTTTATTATTCATTGAATAACAAGTTTATTTAAGTGTACGTTTAATTATAATTGTGCAGAATATTATATTAGTTTCTGGGGTATACCTCAGTGCTTCAGCATTTATAAGACTCACAAAGGGACCCCCCCGCACAAGTCTCTCTCACCTGCCGCCATCCACATTTGTTACCTGTACTGTGTTGTACATCACATCCCCATAAGTTACTGTACAACAAGGGGTTTTCATCACTCGAATCTGTCACCTGGAGCCTGTTCCTCCTTTCCCCACCTTTGGTCAAAGGTCTCCTCCCCCACTTTGACCAAAGCACGCATTTATGAGACAAGTTAGTTGGCCAAGTTTGGCGGTGAAGTTTTCAGAGAGGTTTTGCCATTTATTTGTGTGTCAAAAGGTCAGGTCCATAACATAAAGTAAACAAAGCTTATGAAACATAGTTACGATCCAGACGGTGTTGAATATTGATCCTGCCAGAAGGTCTTCCGAGAGCTGATTTAGTTCCTAGTTTATGTAGTTCTGTAGTAGCATTACCCAAACTACGGGACAGGGAACAGCATGTTGTAACCGGCGCTCCCAACTCAGGGAGGCTGCAGTTATGTTTGCCTGGGAGACTCCCAAACTTATTTGCATGGAGACCTGTCCAAGCCCTTAAAATATTACTATCACTGTGATCTTTTTTACAAGGGATATCCGAATGCAGCATTGCCAAACCTCCTTGAACAGTGAAGATTCAGACTTTTATTTCACATTATTTTGGAAACAGCTAATCATATCCCTAGGAACTTGCAATTCACTGACTTACAGTAGGTTCCGAACCCAAGGTTTATGTCAACACGGCCAAAAATGAGAGCCTTCCCACACTGCCCTGCAGTGCGTCCTGATAAAGGAAAAAGAGGAAACTGAGGCAGCGGGCATGGACTCTGATGCCACATTCCAGTTATTATTTTCATCCTTTTATTACAAATAACATGAGCATCAATACGCTGTATGTTCAGAGTTCTTTCTCTCATCTGCAAGGACTGATGTGCAGCAGGAAGGACAAAGAAAGCGTGGGTGGGAACAGCCTGGTAGAGATTTCACTGAGGGACCAATTCTCACTCCTTCTCCAGAGGGAACTAAGAAGTGACCGAATTTGAGTCCTCACGTTATGCCAAAGTTCAGAAGAGGAAGCTTGAACGTTGGTGCGCTCTGCAAAAGCCTCCGAGTATCCGCAGCTCCAAACCATGTGCTTCTGTTCCCCACTTGGCTATGGCCTCCCCTGCCCCACCATGCACCCACCTCCGCCAGGCGGGCGGCTTGTTCTGATGGTCCCGCCAAGGCCGTCCCTCACCGTGGGCTTCAATCCTCTATTCTGGCCTCCGTGCACAGAGAAGCACAATGTTTTTTTAGAGTGTTTTTATTTTATTTTTTTTAGCAATTCACTAATTTTCTCTAAAATAAGTGTGCATATATATATTTTTAAATCTTAATGAGGCCTGGGGGCTCTTATTTCTGTAATCTCAGGTTTATTTGTATAAGTTAGTTAGAGGTAAACTGGCATT